AGAAACTTTAATTAACAAATTGAAAAAACTGAACACACAGATCATAATCATTTCTTCTGATCCGAATAATGACCCATAAGGTATAACATTGACTCAAAATATATATAATCGGCCTCATACAAACAAACAACGTGGTTTAGTCTCGAAATGAAACATGAGCATAGGTGCGTGATCAGTCTAGATTTTTTCAGATTATCACCTACTTTTAGATCACACTATTCATTCATTATTTCATTTGCATCCGTAAAAAGATTAAATGGTTTTGCGCAATAAAATGAATACTATTATAGATACGGTAACAATATTGAACATCATACTCCACATTATCATCTAATGCATCAAGTCAAATGACATTGAATTGGATAGATTTGTAATGAATCATTGAATTACTTAACTAATCTAAAGTTACTGTCCAACAGTACAATAACTGGAATGCTACAATTAAAGTTAGAATTAAACAGAAAGAGTTAAGTTATCATCATCATCTGTAAGTTAGAAAAAAAAGATACTTTTTCTCGTCTTCTTCCATTTTCTTGAGTTATGATCAACAGTGATATAATTGACATGGAACATCATTCTAGGGAAATTTTTATTACAAAACTAATACTACTATTGCGTACTAACTATATATATATATATATATATATATATATATATATATATATATATATATCCTAAATAAGAAATTGATCATTTGATCAACAGATTGGATTTGATCATCATCGATTAAGTAAAAAAACCAATGCTCTATTTAAATGAATTCAGAATGTGATGAATTTCTTTTCTTTGACTGATAATCAAAGCAAACACACGTTGTAAGCACACCTCAAAGGACATAATGTATAACATATAGGAAAAGGCTTGAATGTGTTGGTTATGTTTTCTTTTGAGATGGAAAAAAAAATAATAACTGAGTGATTTTACAGTGCAAAATATGATTTTAAAAAGAAACGATAAAACAAATCAGACAATCAACTCTAAATTATTTCTATTCAACCAATCGATAATTTATGTCTTGCATATATTTAACGAAAAAAAGGCATTACCATGTGTTTTTATTTTTTTTCATTTACGCATACTTGAATAATAATTAATGTAGTACACAGTTATACATCAATCTATCTATCTATCTATCCGTCTATCTATCTACAATAAATCATATGATTAGAACGAGGGAGAGTCGCACCAAAATACACAATTCAATATATTATATATACATATATATATATATATATATATATATATATATATATATGCGAATATAATATAAAAGAGAACTTAGAATGGAGTCGATAATCTGTTAAGATATGTATATACATATAACAGATTATCGACTCCATTTTAAGTTCTCTTTTATATTATATTCGCATATATATATATATATATATATATATATATATATATATATATATAATATATTGAATTGTGTATTTTGGTGCGACTCTCCCTCGTTCTAATCATATGATTTATTGTAGATAGATAGACGGATAGATAGATAGATAGATTGATGTATAACTGTGTACTACATTAATTATTATTCAAGTATGCGTAAATGAAAAAAAATAAAAACACATGGTAATGCCTTTTTTTCGTTAAATATATGCAAGACATAAATTATCGATTGGTTGAATAGAAATAATTTAGAGTTGATTGTCTGATTTGTTTTATCGTTTCTTTTTAAAATCATATTTTGCACTGTAAAATCACTCAGTTATTATTTTTTTTTCCATCTCAAAAGAAAACATAACCAACACATTCAAGCCTTTTCCTATATGTTATACATTATGTCCTTTGAGGTGTGCTTACAACGTGTGTTTGCTTTGATTATCAGTCAAAGAAAAGAAATTCATCACATTCTGAATTCATTTAAATAGAGCATTGGTTTTTTTACTTAATCGATGATGATCAAATCCAATCTGTTGATCAAATGATCAATTTCTTATTTAGGATATATATATATATATATATATATATATATATATATATATATATATATATAGTTAGTACGCAATAGTAGTATTAGTTTTGTAATAAAAATTTCCCTAGAATGATGTTCCATGTCAATTATATCACTGTTGATCATAACTCAAGAAAATGGAAGAAGACGAGAAAAAGTATCATTTTTTTTCTAACTTACAGATGATGATGATAACTTAACTCTTTCTGTTTAATTCTAACTTTAATTGTAGCAGTCCAGTTATTGTACTGTTGGACAGTAACTTTAGATTAGTTAAGTAATTCAATGATTCATTACAAATCTATCCAATTCAATGTCATTTGACTTGATGCATTAGATGATAATGTGGAGTATGATGTTCAATATTGTTACCGTATCTATAATAGTATTCATTTTATTGCGCAAAACCATTTAATCTTTTTACGGATGCAAATGAAATAATGAATGAATAGTGTGATCTAAAAGTAGGTGATAATCTGAAAAAATCTAGACTGATCACGCACCTATGCTCATGTTTCATTTCGAGACTAAACCACGTTGTTTGTTTGTATGAGGCCGATTATATATATTTTGAGTCAATGTTATACCTTATGGGTCATTATTCGGATCAGAAGAAATGATTATGATCTGTGTGTTCAGTTTTTTCAATTTGTTAATTAAAGTTTCTTATTTACTTATGTCTGTCACCCCCAACGGAGCATAGGCTGCAGCCCAATGTTCTCCAACGTACTCTGTCCTGAGCTTCCCTTTCCAGTTCTGGCCAATTTTTGTTCATTCTTCCCATATCTTTCTCTGTTTCTCGGCGTAATGTGTTTCTTGACCTACCTCTTTTCCTTTGACCTGGAGGGTTCCATGTGAGGGCTTGTCTTGTGATCCAGTCAGGTACTTTCCGCACTGTGTTTCCTATCCACTTCCACCGCTTCTTGATTTCTTCCACTGGAATCTGGTTTGTTCTCTCCCACAACAAGTTTTTGCTGATGGTGTCTGGCCAACGAATCCCAAGTATTTTGCGTAGAAAACTGTTAATGAGTACTTGTATCTTCTGGATGATGGCTTTGGTAGTTCTCCGACTTTCCGCCCCATACAGTAGAACTGTCTTGACATTTGTATTAAAATTTCTGATTCTGGTGTTTGTTGAAAGTTGTTTTGAGTTCCAGATGTTGTCCAATTGTAGAAATACAGCCCTTGCTTTGCCAATCCGCGCCTTTGCATTTGCATCAGATCCACCTTGATTGTCGATGGTGCTACCCAGATATGTAAAGGTTTGAACATCTTCCAAGGCATCTCCATCAAGAGTGATTTAGTTGGCGCATGTTGTCTTGTATCGGAGAATCTAGCTTTTCCCTTTATGTATGTTGAGACCTGCTGCTGCTACACTGATCGTCTTCTCCTGCATTTTTTGTTGAGTGTGCGATATAAGTGCTGGATCATCCAGCTGCATCCTGGTTATCCACTGTTTACTGTGCGTCCCTCCAAATGTTGACGTGTTCATAATCCAGTCTATCATTAGGAGAATGAGAAAGGGTGAGAGTAAGCAACCTTGCCTGACACCTGTCTTTACCTCAAATGAGTCTCAGCTGACCCCTGTGCACGATTTCGCAGTTGAATCCATCATAAGAATTTCGTATGATTTCGACTATCTTCTCCGGCACGCCATAGTGTGGAAAAATCTTCCAGTGTTTTTATGTCCACGCTATCAAATGCTTGATGTAGAGTTTCCTTCTGTTGCAGACTTTTTTGCCGTCATTCCTAGGTCTTCCACATATTTACGTTTGTCGGCTTTGATGTTCATCTTCACTTGCTTGTTTGCTTCTGTGTATTCACCTTGTGCCTTGGCTTTCTCTGCTCTTGCGTGGTTGATGTTGATTGCAGCCTTCTTGTTTCTTCTTTCTTCAATTCTTCTAAGAGTACCAACAGAGATACAATCCTTGTGGTGGTATTTCTTGAGGCCCAGAACATCCTGACTTGTTAAAGTGATTGCCTCCTTGATCCATTTTCAATTTTTCTCTACAGTAGTTTCCTCTCCATTGAGTAGATCCTGAAAGGCCTGGAACATATTGGTGAGGGCTATCCTGAATTCGTTGTTCTTTCCAGGAGCCTAAAGAAAGGCCGTATTAAACTTGTGTGATGTTGTCTGCCCTGTTGTCCAGTGCTTCTTCAGTTTCAGTTTCATTTTGGCGACCAGCAAGTGGTGATCGAAAGCGATATCAGCTCCTCTTTGTGTTCTCACGTCCTCAATGGTCCTTCTGAAATTTTTTGTTGATGCAGATATGGTCGATTCGGTTGTGAGTAGTGTGATCCAGTAAAATCCACGTAGCTTTGTGTATACGTTTTTGTGGGAATACTGTGCCACCGATGACCAGTTTGTTGAAGGCACATAGGTTTGCAAATCTCTCAACATTTTCGTTTCTCTTTCCAAGTCCATGTCGTCCCATGATGTCTTCATTTTACAGTGTTGCCCATTCAAACCTTAGCATTTAGGTCTCTCATCGGAATGATCAAATCCTTTGATAAGCATCTGTCGACGATTGACTGTAGTCTCTCGAAGAATTGATCTTTACCGTCTTCATTGTAGTCATTGGTAGGTGCATAACATTGGATGACGTTCATTGTAATGTCCTCTTTCTTTGTTTTTATGGATGCTTTAATGATCCTCGGTCCATGAGATTCCCATCCTATCAGTGTATCGATGTATATATCTATTTTAAAATAAAAATTGTTTTGAGTTGTATGAAGCGTTTCTTCGATTTGTATAAAATCAATGCGAAGGATTGATAACTAGGTTGACCTTCAACTTTAAGGTCATCTGGAAGAGTGAATTCGAAAAGTACACACTAATTAATGAAAGCAGTTCAAGTAAAAAAAAAAGACAGAACATTCCATTCGTTGGTACGAAGTTGTGTAGTGTTTTTTTTAAAAATCTACTTTTTAACATGGGACTACAGACAGGATATAAGAGTGCATTTGTGTTGCCTTTTACATAGACACAATAAATCCGACATGCTCTGGCTCATTATAATTCGTATTTTCTCTTATCTTTACAGCTTTTCATATGAAATGTATCGATCCCTGGCTATTATGTAATCGTCGATGTTGTCCTATATGTAATCAGCTAGTTGAATTGCCAGGCGCACCTTCAGTATCCGATGAGACTGAAATTATAGAAAGTGGTAACAATGATTTCTTACGACAAATACCAAGTAGACTACTAAATTTTTTTAGACGTAATAATCATGAATCAGTCAGTACTCGACGTCATTCAGTAGACTCCGGTCAATCTAATGAACATTATCAAATTGATGAAGAGCATACTCCTTTACTGCAAACTGATACCATTCAAAATCAACATGTTTGTAGTGATAATGTTATACACAATTCTTTCCTAACAACAACAAGACGTCCTGAGATTCATTCTTCATTACTAGTTGGTATGTTTAGGCGTTCTTTTTTTTACATGCTACTTTATCCTCACCTTTTTTACGCTGAACCATTTTGTTTCTAATAGTTATGCCAGATGTGGTGATGGTGGCTTGAAAAATAGGATCAATCTACATATAATGAGAGCTAGAATTGTTTATTATCAATCTGAGTCACTTTTGCGCCTTCATTATGATGAAGGTCATTCCATTTGCTTCCACACCGCTGTGCATTATTTACCGAATCTGGGATTATGTGGAAAAACCAAGAGTTGGTCTGTCAGTCAGTCAACAACAACATAGAACTTCGTACGTACGTACATCAGTTCAAATTGCCATACCACATTGGTCTCGTGTGCTTTTATGGGCATGAGGGCGAATGTTACTTCCCGGCTGCCCACACCGTGGAAGGGCTCTGGTTGTCTGAAGCGGCACCGGCCTCGTGATTTCCGAAGGAACTCGGCTTTCATCATGAGACGTAATGACTCTTCTAAATGAATACCTTCTAACTCCCACAGCAGAGTTTAAGTGGTTTGAATTATTTTTCCTTGTTAGCGTTTTTTGCCAGATGGGTTCGACAACCCCATGCCCAACTCTCCTCTTTTATCCGGGTTCGGGATCGGCAGTAACCCCAAAGGGTCTACAGGCGGAGTTAAGAGGTGGTCAGTTTACAATCTGGTATTGTAGTGTGAAAACTAGCTGCATAAGATTAATATCTGTTGGCCCGTGACGACATCCGGTGTAAATGTGACTCTAGTGATTTGAGATATACCTTTGAGAATTTGTCATAAAATGTAACATAAGCTACAGTAATTTAAAAAGTTTCTCTTTGCCATATTTTGGACTGAATATAGCATTCTATTATCAATTATCATTTTTTTAGTCTTACAGTGCTTCCATTCTTTTTTTCTTCACAGTGTTATCTCTAAATTTGTATGGGGCGCATTTTCGGCTGAATATGCGCTATTAAAACTAAACATGACCTGATTGATTATTATCTTGTCACAATTTGTCTGAGTTTTCTTCTCAAACCGCCGCTTACCTCAATGAACAGTCTTGTCTGATGTATGGGGGTAGGTCGGAAGAAAGCTAAGAGCGTGGCCTAAGCAAAACATGGCACAAGTCTATAAAGTCATTGAAAATTGGAACAAGCTATGTGTTATAATTCTCTCTTTATTACAATCGAGTTATTCCTAATGCTTAGTATTCTGGGACACCAATTCACTCGAGACGTTCTCCCACATCAGAACACGGTTGTACAGGAAATATATTATATTCCAATAACAAGGTTAGAAGGAAGTCAGACGATCCAAACGAAAAACACGTTAGTATAGTGATAGTTTTCTTACATGAGAAGATTCTGAAATGCTTCCCCAGTATCGACTGGCGCTGCTGATTGGATACGAAAGAGCCAATCAGCATGCAACAACGCGGTCATGCTTCAGTCCAATCTATGTCATAACTACTGGCTAAATGTTCTGAATGACATGGCTCAAAATCGTTTGGGATAGCACTAGTGTATTCGTTCTTTATGTTCCTCTAAATACTCGACTTCTGAATTCGGCATCACTTTTAAAAGAAAGTTGATTTCACTGATTTGTATATATTTTTTCAATCCTTATTTTTTTATATTTCCACTGATACTTGGATTCAGTTGGACAATTTCATCGCTCTACACTAATAGGATATACCAATTTGAACTAAGAATGTACATACATACCGAGTTCTACATTGCAGCTGACTGATTGAATAATGCTAACAACAAATAACTATCACATCATTGCCAAATTTGTCTTATTTATATAACAATACATTAGTTCGTTATTTATCATAGTATTTTTCATGTTTCTTTTATTTTCTTCAGATGAAGATGATGAAATGTTACAATCAGATTTAGTTGATCTGAAACAATCATGTAGTCGATCAAGTTCAAGTCCAACGGCTATTGAATCTTTAAAATATTTGTCATAATTTAAACAATGCTGATTTCGGTTCATCATCTTCGACAACAACAACACCATTCACGTCTGATTTAATTCAACAACAATCATCTACACATTCATCTATGGAATCAAAAATAAATGTACTTGAATTACCTCCAGTGGCCACGGATACAGCAGTGAAATCAGAGATGACTACGGCAGATTCAGGCGATGATGTATTAATCACTGATGTGAATGTGAACACTGTATAAAACGATTATATATTTATATACACATACAGATTATTCACATTACTTTCAATAGAATATAGTCTATAAAATGTGATGATGATTCCTCTTGATGATGAGATTGTGATTATCACTATCCGAATGGAATAACTACATATACAGTACAAGATATCTACATATATTCATATTCATCTACACATGATCAACACATCATAACTTTTGTTCATTGACATTATGTGTTATGTTTCCAAGTGTTCTCATATCTAAATAAAAAAACAACTTGTTCTCACATCATTCATTATCAATCACATCATTTTTCTAACGAACTAACAATTGCACACAATTTCGAACAGATTCAACAAACATTGTATGTA